GCCTCTGGAGAGGAGCAGGTGGTCAGAAGACAAGGTGCTAAGGGTATTCCTGGTGAGGAAACAAGTGCTTTGAGCCAAGTGCCTCTTGCCCTGGGAGAGCAATAGAAACGTGTCACATGTGAGAGAGTTTGCATTTGCCCATGCTTCTCAACAGGTTGAGCAGATAATTTGCTGACAGCACTGTAATCTGTTAATCTGAAAATATCAGCTTTATCTTTTGAAAGATTAAAAAAAAAAAAACAACAAACAAGAAATCATTAGTCTAGCTTGCATAGGATATAGTCTTCTTCATTCCTACAAAGTAAGATCAATGCAATTTCATGTGTTTGTTGCCAATTGCCAAACTACCCCAAACTGGGCTCTTACAGCAGCCAAATCAAAGCCCATGTTCTGCATGCTCCATGCACCATATGTATGGGTGTTATGGCTGGGTAGGAGTTGATATTGGCTACTAATGCTGTATGTAAATGTCAGCTGGCAGCTGTAAGACTGAAGGCCTTTTGATAGATGAACAGCTTTAATTGGTTGACATACCAGCTCGTGAAATGCTTTCTGTTTTTCGAAGTCTTAAGCCAGTTTCTAACAATGATTTGAAAACATAATAAAAAAAAATATTTAAAATATGTAGCAGGGTATTTATGAATAGCTTGTCTTCTCTGAAATATGCATACTGTTGTGAATACTTTCTCACACGTATCTGAATTTCAGCTTGGTTACTCATCACCCTACAACAATTTAAATCTGGCCAGTCATAGGAACACAGATAGACTCATCTCTTCCTCATTCACAGAACTGGTAGTGCCCTGCTCACAACAAGAATGATGACTAGTTTTATTAAAATTTATAATTAAACAATTATATTAGAAGTCCATAAACCATTAAGTGACCACTTCTTTCCTAAAGCAGCAGAAACTTTGGTCAATCTAAATGGATGAGACTTATCTCTGCTAGAGTCTGTCACTCCCTGGCACAGGAATAATTCAGTTTCTGTAGGAGAGTAACTCCACTAGGCTGGAGAATGGCCCAAAATGAAAAAAAAAAAAAAAAAGGGTCTAGAGTTTTGATTTTCCTTTATCTTTCAGTAGCATTTTATTTCACTGTACTGAAATGTTATTATCCATACTTCAGAGCTAAGAAGAGTGAAGGATGTTCTCTAAAAATCTCCCTGCAAATTAGTGCTATTCCTTCACTCCAAATGGTCTTTTTCCCCAGAGACAGTATTTGACAGTACTTGGAGCTTCGCTTATATATAAAGAACTGTTCGGATGATTTGATCATTGTTCATAGAATTGCAGTGTTTCATTCTGTATCTTTCAACCTAGAGACAAGTTGGCATTAACATAGCATTCCCTTTTTATGAATGCATTTGTGTGCTCTGTTGTTGACCAAACAATAGACACAACAAGGAGCCTTTGCATATCGATCTGCCATAGCAAAACCAGACCAACTATTTTGGTATCTTCACAAAAACAGATATTCTCTATTTTTTTTTCCATATAATCAATTAATTAACTGTATTAATTATAAAAATTAAATCTGATTTTGAAGTGAAATGGACCATTATGTGTCTCTATCTAGTGACAAATATTACATACAACTGACTAGAACAGAGAATATTCCAAAGTAAGTATCCAAGTGTTTCTTCTTGAGACTGTTAGGTAATAGGTTCCTGAGTAAAGATGCATGCATGCTGGCAGCAAAACAATTAAAAAAAAAAAAAACAAGAAAAAATTCTTACACGTTTCTGGCTTAATTCAATTGACATGCATTTAATGAATGCTGTTTACTTGCCAGAAAACTAAACAAAAAATGGGCATTGCTTTAACAAATCAACAGGCTGGCTCAAGTGCTTTTCATGAATTAATCTTTCTCTTTATGAATGTAAGATATAAAAAACAAGAAATCTTGCAACCAATAATGATTGCTCCTGTGTGTTCTGCAATGGAGAAACACTGCAAAGGACTACAGCGAGGGACAGTGTTGCCATGCAGCCCAGCAAAACAGCCCACTGAAAAGCATGCTGACCCACTTTCAACTACCAGCTCTTGCTGACCCTTTGTTGAGAGAGAGGTTCTTCCAAGTTTTTGTTGTTTTTACCCTTTCAGCTCTTCTTTCTAAAGGAGCACGCCAGTCCCTCTCTTTCTTTTCATTTTTTTTTCTTTATTTTCCAGATGCATAGAAGAAAGGCAGATTGTTTCTTGTGACTGCCTTTGCTTTAGTTAATTTAGAAAAAATCTTCCACCCCTTCTCTTGTTAAGAACATGCCCTGGAAGAAATATGGATCTTGCCATCAACAAAATTATGATACAATTCCTTAAGGAACTCAGTCTGATCAGAGTAATTCATCTATGAAAAACCATACTATAATTGTTACTCTTGGCAACAGTGAAGGATAATAGTGTAATATTATACTAAATATTGCCACGTGCAATAGTAAAAAAACTGTTTTAGCCTTGCCAGCAGCGGTGTGCAAACCCCCTTTTGAGTTCAGGTTTGGATGTTGTGATTTAATCTAAATCTTTTTCTTCTCCTTCTTCCAAAAGCAACAGAGGTTTAAAGAGAGCTGGATTTTATTGGAACCATTTGCTCAGCCTAAGTTGCCAAAATAATTTAGTTAAAACTAGTGCTTTTATTTGGGTTAAAGTTGATTCCTGAGCTCCACAGAGGTCGAGGCACTTAGTTTGTCTTCCTCTTTTTCAGTTTCACCATGGAGTCTACAACAGAGCTCTGCCAGGTCAAGTTGTATTTCCCGAGTCCCAGTCACCCATTTGAGGTTATCTATGTTCATGATTCTGCAAAAGTGGAGCAGATAACTTTTTCAGCCCTTTTCCTCCCAATTTATCTGCTACAATGCATAGAAAAATGTGTGGATCCAAGGATTCTGAATAAGCAGGCACTAGTAGTGTAAGAGTGCAAGCCCTGCTGTCAGTGCTGCTACTGCTGGTGCATTAGTGTGACTTCTCCTTAGCTAATGAGTGACAGCTGCTGTGAAATGCCTTACAGGGTATTTGGCTTTCCTGGGCAACAAGTGGAAAAATACAAAAATATAGAATTTTGGAACTGAGCTGGGGGAAAAAACACTCTATTTTATGCTACTTGAAAAGCATTGTTTGAATTTCAGATAGTTCCAACAAAATGATAATACAGTCACAAAGTCTTGCCAAAACTTTTTAAATCCTGGGATATGTTTCACAATAACAAATACTGCAATGTTATTGCAATTAAGGAAGTATCTATTTCTCACTGTATGTGTTTCTGCATGTGGGCATGAGCTTGTTGTAAATGGGACAAAAGCAGGCTCTTGAATGTCAGAACCTTTGCATGGTGAGGGGGCTGGGGTCAAATACGCATTTCTAAAACTATCCTCTGTAGTTAGAGTCTGGTTTGGATCCAAAAATGAAAGCTTTTTTTTTTTTTTGGTTCCTATTCGGTTGCAGAAGAAATGTCATAGGTCAGAATGATATATTAAGGATGCTCTATGGTAGCAGTGACTTGTTCTGGAATAGATTAATGCTAGGCTTCAGTTTTAAAGTGAAACCAGGGTAAAGATTTGATGGTTCTTGTTTATTATTATTATTATTTTTTTTTTCCCTCAGGAGATCCTAGCACAAAACAGTTCAAATCTCAAGACTTCTACTCATCTTAAAAGAAGTACTGCTGTCTTGGATGGAATTCTCATAAAAAAGAAACAGAAATAAGCCCTTCTGGTTGTTGTTGTTGTTGTTTTTAAAGCAATCCAGACTGAATGCAGTAGGGATTTAGTGAATGGAAATCAGAAGCCAATGCATGTTGAAATACAACATTGGATGGATTAAAAGACCAGTTTTAATCCATCTTGCAAATGTGTTTATTATTTAGTTGATCAACTGAAAAAGCCAGTCCTATTCTCAACTACATCAAAAGAAGAGTGGCCAGCAGGTCAAAAGAGACAATTCTCCACCTCTATAACACTATTTTGAGACCCCACCTGGGTGCATTCAGCTGTGGGACTCCCAGCGTAAGAAAGACATAGACTTGCAAGAGCAGGTCCAGAGGAGGGGCACAAAGATGATCAAAGAGATGGAGAACATCTCCTATGAAGAGACACTCAGAGGGTTGGGGTTGTTCAGCCTGGAGAAAAGAAGGCTCCAGGGGTATCCAATAGTGCCACTTATAGGGGGACTGTGGAAGGATTGTGAAGGACTCTACCAGGGTGTGTAGTGATGGGACAAACTAAAAGAAAGCTTCAGAGTAGATGAAATGAAAGAATTCTTTACTGTGAGGATGGTTAGATAATGGAACAAGTTGCCCAGAGAAGCTGCGGATGCCCTATCCCTGGAAATGTTTGAGGCCAGGTTGGATGGTGCTTTGAGCAACCTGATCTAGTGGGAGGTGTCCCTGCCCACGGCAGGGGAGATTGGAACTAGATGATCTTTAAAGGTGCCTTCCAGCCCAAACCATTCTATAATTCTATGATTCTGTGATTGAGTATGATTTTTCTCCAGTTACAAATACTAATAGTTCTGCATTTGATATTATCCTAAATCAGGTAAAATTTTAAATATAAAGAATGTAGAGTGAATAATATAAATCAGAAACTTAAAAATAGTGTTTCACCATTTTTAATCAGATCATTTAATGTTATTTTGCCGTTTTAAAATTGTAAACATTCTTAAATGAGAACACGGTCTGCATCCAGTAACTTCTGTAGCTTCACTTTATCAGAATGCAGTCTATATGAGAAAAAATTTTAAAACACCTGATTTACTAGATTTTCTCTTAGCAGTGCACAAAATAGGGCTGAAAGGGACAAATAGGATCTGGCCAATGCATTTTGTAGCTGCCATTTTTTATTTTAGTAATTTTAAGAGCTTTCCTTTATAAAAAGAAGACAGTACCCCTAAGCTTAAGCCTGTAAAGTCTGAAAGCTATGTACAACACAACAAATTACTTGAAATTGTTTGTTCTTCATAAACGCCAAATAAGATGTTGTCTCTGATGGCAAACAAGAAAGTTCTCACCCTTATACCCAGCTGCATTGGTTTTCCAGTCGTTAGCATTCAGATGTCCTGCACGAGAAGTCCTGACAATAATATGCTGTATGTCTCTCCATGTCAGAAATGGACTAGAAAAAAGGGAAAACATAAAGTCACAGATTAGATATATTTTATTAGAATGGAGGAATATGAGTCACAAAAGCTAAAAAATATCCAAAACCAAAACAACCCTCACTTCTCTTCCCTGCTCTCCTTTTCTCCATTCAAAATAGCATTTCCTAATCTTACTGAATTACTACATGAAATTATTTATACAGCTAGGAGGCTTCCATGAAGCAGACTATAAAGATATATGATACTCCATTGCACAGACTTCTAGTGTTTTGCTAAGTAAGGGAAGATGATGGAGTACATTTCACCCAGACTTAATTTGTATGACCGCCAACCACCACTGTACGTTGTTATGTTGGCTCACTGAAAAGCTTTACTAAATCTTAATAACTGTGTGCTCAAGCTGTCAGTTTCCTTAGACTTGCAGCTCTGACTGAAACTATTTCACATGCTCTGTAGTTATTCATTTGACTGTTCATTTGATTGTTCATTTGTTATTTGCCTGGCCTTGGGTACAAGGAGCCTCAGCAAGGCTCCTTGGGTACTCTTCAAAGATGACCAAACAAACAGCACAGTCTCTAAATACTTATAGAGCAAGTACCTGATGACACAGAGTTGTATTCTTTTTACACGCTTCTAATAACCTGACCACTGCAATGGTGAAAGAAGATGCCATTTGCATTCTTATTATGAAACTAATATCCATTTATCTAATATCCATTTATCTTGTAAGAAATCTATAGGGAATGTAGTGTTCTTGTTGCTTTTAGATACACCCCATGGAATATTTCTTATCTTAGGAGATCATTTAAAAGAGCATGGGCATCATAGGGGTATTTTTTATTTCTTCTCATTTCTGTTTTTGTCTCAGACATAATAAGAATAGTATTCCATTTAAAAACATGGTTAAGTGTGGTTAAGTGGAGAGAATGAAAAAGTGAGTAATTAAGTAACGAAGAGAGAGAAAGTACTGTAGGACAGAATACTAGTCAAGTATCATTCTCAGAGAATTATTATTTACCCTTACTCATTGGCAGAACTCCATTCAGTTGTAATAATGAAGACAAACCAGAATGAAATTCTGATGAAGACCCAGTACCGGCTGTCTACAAAGTCCAGCACTAGGCAGTCATTAAAAACCTGGGAAGCCTCAGTTCCTTAACACATGCTCTATGTTTCTCTGACCAAGAAGTAACCTGGCCTGGCAGACAAGTGACTTATTCTCAGCATTTATATTTAAGGCTTGATGAGGAACACTTGTGCTCTGCTTGCACTTGCAGGTAGAGGCTAGAAAAAAGGAATGGTCAAATGACTGTCGGAAAGCTCAACCCATGAGAGATGGTGAGTGGGTCACTTTTTGGGGTAGGTAGGACATTCCTATCACACGGAGTTACCATATATTTTTATACCAACACATAGTTGAATTCCTAGAAATTTCAAAGACAGATTTCTTCAGAAAGCAGACAGAGTAACAACAAATATGCAGAAATATTTGATTGTTCTGTATTGAAATACACAGAAAAATCTCACTCAACTCTCCATCTGAGGTACATAAATAAATGTTGTGTGGGTTGTCATACCATTCACAGTGTTTCACATATTCCAGTACTTGTTATCTCAAAATAATATTCTTTTCAAAATACTTGAGTAATCAATGCAGTATGGCACTTAACTATAGAAGTAGAAACCTGCTTATCATGTGAGCTGAACTCAAGCTATTAAGAAGCAATCAGTGAATGCATGTGATAATCTATTAAAAAATGTGTACTTAATTTTCAACCAAACTGCATCGATTTAGGTTTTCAGGTGATATATTTCAGCTTCAACAAGCTGTACCTTTAGCAGAAGGTAGTAGGGAAACACAAGTTATTGCAAACCTGCAGCATACTTGTCTATAGAAAAGCTAGCGCCTATCCTATCCACATACAGACATATATTGGTATGTACTAACTACTGAGAGTTCACCATTCTGGGTAGAACTACTGAAAATGAAAATCAATTACCTTTCAGAACCATGGTCCATAACTCTGTATAATAGATAAAAACCTGGGATGTGAAGGCCATTCACTCACATAGAACTCATTCTTACACATTCTAAGTTCCAACAGTCTTATAATTCATAAACCTGAAAACAAGTTGAAATTGCCTAAAAATGTGACAATTCTTTTATTCAAAGTTGTAAGGAATAATTCAAAGACAGGCACAAAATCCTATTACAGGACATTTCCCATTGTGTATGTGTAAACCATGGGTATGCTGATGTAATCCAGCATCTGGATTTTTGAGCAAGTTTGATCATTGAGCAAGTTTGATCATTGAGCAAGTTTGCTGATGACACCAAACTTGGAGGAGTTGTGGACTCGAATGAGGGTGGAAAGGCCTTGCAGAGGGATCTGGATAGGTTGGAGAGCTGGGCGATCACCAACCGCATGAAGTTCAATAAGAGCAAGTGCCGGGTCCTGCACCTGGGATGGGGAAACCCTGGCTGCACATACAGACTGGGCGATGAGACGCTGGAGAGCAGCCTAGAAGAGAGGGATCTGGGGGTCGTGGTAGACAGCAAGTTCAATATGAGCCAGCAGTGTGCCCTGGCAGCCAGGAGGGCCAACCGTGTCCTGGGGTGCATCAAGCACGGCATCGCTAGTAGGTCAAGGGAGGTGATTGTCCCGCTCTACTCTGCACTGGTGCGGCCTCACCTCGAGTACTGTGTGCAGTTCTGGGCACCACAGTATAAAAAGGACATGAAACTGTTGGAGAGTGTCCAGAGGAGGGCTACAAAGATGGTGAAAGGCCTGGAGGGGAAGACGTACGAGGAACGGCTGAGGGCACTGGGCCTGTTCAGCCTGGAGAAGAGGAGGCTGAGGGGAGACCTCATCACAGTCTACAACTTCCTCGTAAGGGGGTGTCGAGAGGCAGGAGACCTTTTCTCCATTAACACCAGCGACAGGACCCGCGGGAACGGGGTTAAGCTGAGGCAGGGGAAATTTAGGCTTGACATCAGGAGGAGGTTCTTCACAGAGAGGGTGGTTGCACACTGGAACAGGCTCCCCAGGGAAGTGGTCACTGCACCGAGCCTGTCTGAATTTAAGAAGAGATTGGACTGTGCACTTAGTCACATGGTCTGAACTTTTGGGTAGGCCTGTGCGGTGTCAAGAGTTGGACTTGATGATCCTTAAGGGTCCCTTCCAACTCAGGATATTCTATGATTCTATGATTCTATGATCTTTCTGCTTACAGCAGGGACACCACAATATTTTTCTAGAGTCAACACAGAAAGTCATTTTTATGCTTGCTATTAAAAGAAGACAAAGGTGGAATAATCTAAAGATGGATGATCATTTTTAAGTGAATCTCTTATTGACTGTAGACAGATTTTTCTGTAATTTCTTCAAAGCTGTATTAATTCATCATCATTTAAGTTCTCTCTTATTTATTTATTTATTTAGTTATACAGGACACAAGTTTATTCCTGTGCTTAAATTATTCTGTTGTTTTTAAGAACAGCTGATGCATTCACTAAAACATTAATATGCTCACAGATGCATTTTTTTTTTATTTTTTTTTAAGTAGAATTTCTCACGATAGACAGTTGGACTAGATGGATGTAGTTGTTTATTCAGCTGAACTGGTAAGAATGAATTCAAAGAAAAAAGAGTCATGGAATGTAATGAGCATTCAGGGCTTGTAAGATAGGGTATGCTTGGACAGTCACGTAACATGCTTCAAGAAAAAGAATCAATATGATTTTGTACCAGCTCAGGAATTTCACTAGGAGGCTGTGTAAAGTCTTAGAAAAACATGTTTCAGGCTGTCAGGAAGACCTCCAGGAATCCCACGAGCTGCATTCTTTATAATCTGGAATCTAAACAATCTGTTTTTCCATAAAGCAAACTGTCCATGCTACTGGTGAAAAATAAGGCACTAAAATACTGCTCTCAACTTTAAAAGGAGATAGAGCACCCTCAGCTGATTATTTAAAGAGGAATAGTGAAGCTAGTGATGGTGTATCCATCTATCTTCAAACAATTTGAGTCTACAGTGGACTTCACTTGATGACATTAACCTTCCATAAATTGGAGTTGCTTGCTCAGTCAGAAAATGAGATTATATCTTAAAATTATGGTTTCCTTTTAAAAACATAAATCATGGAAAATCTCAAAAACTGAGCCATCCACTGTTGCATCTACATAATCACGTAACCATAAAAAGGTATGTAACATTTTCTGTGGCAGAAAACCTGTGACCAAAGTTCCAACTTCCAGGACACAGTAAGATACATAGCCAAATCAGTCTGTCTGTTGTACAACTTCCACATAATTTGATTACTGTAAAAGTCATACAATCTTATGTTTTCTTCTCAGTGAATGACATTTTGGGCATATGTATATCAAAGAGATTTAACAGCATATGAAGAATATTCAAATCAATTTCTGTAACATACTACAGAACCTTCACTATACTAAAAATTGAGCTATTACCAGTTAGAAATTTTTTCTCTACAATAGACACCTCATTTGAAACAAAATAGGTCTGCAATTGTTTGACCTTTTTTTTTTTTCAGAAACTTCAACAAAAAGAAAAAGGAAGAAAGAAATTGGAATGATGTCAAAATAGCAGTTCATTTGGAGAAAGAAGAGGGATTATTTTATTTTATTTTATTTTATTTTATTTTATTTTATTTTATTTTATTTTATTTTATTTTATTTTATTTTATTTTATTTTATTTTTTAGACAAGACAGTCTAGCAGCCAATTTTGAAGCATCTGGAAAAATCACAGATTTTTCAAAAATTGAAGATAAGTGAGTAAACAGTTGTTTGCTGGCCACGTGGGCCCCAGATCCAGACAATATGTCACGGATGTTAATAGATTTACCACTTGATTTATTTCATAAGAATTAATGACTAAATATCTTGAAATGAACAAATGCATGAAAGAGAACAGTACTAACTCTGCTTGATAGTGGACTGATTTCAAAAACTGGTGTATTTCCTTCCAGAAAAAAAAATAAAATCTTG